TTTTTCAGTAGATGGAATAAAATAGTGAAAATTAAAGATAGGAAGCTCGATAACATGCCAAGGTTTCATTTCCACCCTCCCAGGATAATAGGCTAGTGATATCTCTTAATGCAGCCAGACTGCCAAAGTCAGAGAGGAAATGAAACACGGAACAACAGCGGGGGAATTTAATCCTCCTAAAATTGATATTGCACATTTAATTTAAGTAAAGAAGAAGCTGTATGAATGAAACACAGTTTAGAAAAAGTAATCTTAACAAAATACGAATTCGATCTCAGAATTACTAATATCACAAGTCAAAGGGCTACAAACTGGAAAAAGGATAAATGATAGCACATAGTCACATAGGCTACATGTTATAGTGTTCTGACACTGTGTCCTTCACTTTTCATTAAAATTGAACTCTGGGATTGTAAAAAATACCCTTTGAGTTGGGTCCCCCTTGTACTACAAGAGGTAAATGTTTGATATTTCCAGGGGTATAGATAAAGGCTGTACCACCAAGTATACTTTCACACTGAGGAGTTTTTGAAGCGTTTTTGCATTGAAAAAAAAGCACCTGAAAAGCTCAATAAAAATGCTTCCCTATGTTTATCTATGTATGTTTTCACACTGGGGCATTGCACTTCCATTGCGGTGTAAAAACTCCTGCTTGCAGCATTTTTGGAGTATGTTTGTTCAGTTTTAAAAAACAATGCACCAAAAACACCTCTTCCCATTGAAATCAATGGAAAGCACCTAAAAAAAGTACCTGAAAAACGCCTCTGAGAAGCATTCTTGGTGCAGTTTTTAAGTCACTTGTCCTTTAAAAAACGCTCAGAAAGTGCAGCAAAAGCGCAACAAAAAGGCATATGCCTTTTTGCCGTGTTTTTGCGTCTGATCAGTGTGAAAGTAGCCTTACTGTACGTTGTACTTCAGCTGACTTCAATGCTCTCCCTAGTGCTTTTCTCCCTGGTGCTATGGGCTGTTAACCCTGCATTGTATGGGAGGAGGCAAACATGTGACCACGGCTGAGAGCACCTTACAGAGCCGCATGGCTAGACATGTCGCATGATTAGAGGAAGCCTGCTGGAGACAGGAATAAGGTAAATATTACTCCCCCCTCCCAGACTTAACAAGCATTTAACACGGTGGGGAGGGGGGCACTGCAAAAGATTTTTTTTTTTTCAGCTTTAACTGTTGCATACATGGTTACTATAAACAATAAAAATTAAAACCTGGGAAAAAACAAATAAAAGTAATACAAGAAGCATGTGTATTAATAGTTGAATCTTGGTGTGTTTTAAGTCTTCCATATTTGTGCAGTGATCCAGCATGTGTTAGAGAGATCAGCGAGCGCTTAAATCTATACAGCAGCGAAATGCACCAAAAGGAAACCTGAAACCTTCAATGGCATATGTAATCAAAAACGTGCAGCGCTGAAAAAAACATTAAATAATATTAGTACTAAAATAGTGTAAATAATTCAAATTATAAATAATTAGTAAAGTGCAAAGTTCATATATATTGTGTGATTATTTGATATGACCATATACGATAAATAAAAGTCCAGTGTGTGATATATTGTCCTTAATTATTGATGTGAAGTGTAAAAACTGTGCTCAGGTGAAAATATATTCCATGTGACAATTATTCGGTGAAGTGCAGGGAATATGGTAAAAATGCACACTCACCAGATGCGCATTTAAAATATGCAGTACAATATGTAGGATGTAATCAGCCAGAAGTCCCCTTTAAGGTGGAACGGATGTACAGCCTGGAAAGGATATCCCTCCTCTGGATCCTGGAGCTGCTCTACAGCTTAATGTCACATGGGATTCTGTGGATTAATTGCTCAATCTTTCCACAAATTTGCAGTTTGTTTCCCCATGCCCCTTTTCAAACTGATTCCTGAGCAGGAGGGTAAGCCTTCATTAAAACCACAGGTATATAAGGGAACCAGAACTGTTGCTAAGTGGAAGTGTAATCCAGCATGACACTAACTCTGTTAATTTTCTCCATGAAAGAACTTCATATAATAAAGACCAGTCATTGCTGCTTTCTATCCTTGAGCAGGGTGGCTGGTCTTGTTTCCACCCCCTCCTATAGTTTTCTGCGGGCATCCTGTAGTAGGTGGATATGTTGGGTCCTGCACACAGCTCTGCACACAGCTCTGCACAGGCTATGTACAGCACCGTGATGATGTCAGCTCTACATTTACAAGGTGATATCTGGATTGCAAAGGCATTTGGTGCACAGAGTGCATTTATATCTTTTACGACTATCGTTGATTATAGGTAAATGCAAATTATTGTGCCTAGAGTTCAAATTTAGTCCAAGTGATGACCTGCTATATTTGAACAGGGTTTCTTTTGCCCTGTGGTATCAAGCAGGGGCAGACTGACCATTTGGGCTCTCGGGCAGTGCCCCAGGGCCCGGGGTCATTAGAGGGCCCCATGAGATGCCCCTGGTACCTTTCATTGGCTTTTTCATAAGTATTTTTGGGTGTGGGCGAGGGCCCAGGGGCCCCATGAGTTGTAATTCTGCCACTGGTATCAAGTAATAAAAGCGTCACCCATGCGTAGTTTTAACCACTTGAACCATGGGAGCACTGCCAAAGCGGGTTGACACTTCTAAACATCACCCGCATATAATGCCTGTGCATGCTCCCTGGGAGTGCGCAGCACCGCGGTGCCCACTGTGTCTGATTGCTGTACAGGACCTCTGTGTGAGGTCCCAATTCATGTGATTACTGATTGGCCAATCAGTGATCACATGAGCTGTAGTAAACTAGATGTCACTTCTGACATCATTGCTTACTACTTGTGAAATCTGTGAATGATCACAGAGGTCACATGGTACAAGGCTATTCACAACAGCCTTGTACCATGTGACAAGCTGTGACCAATCGCAGCTCTAACAGTATTTCTCAATGGCTGCAAGAATTCAGCCAGAGAGAAGGAGAAATGATTGCTTTTACAGCCTTTATGGGTGTAAAAGCAATCAGTGTAAAAAAAAGAAAAAAAAATCTTCATCACTCCCCACAAGTAGTACAGTGTCACTATGGTGACACTGTACTGCTAGGGTGACAGTATGTTTAAAAAAAACACATAAATAATAACAAAAAATAAAATTAAAATTAAAAAAAAAAATTGTAATTATAATTTTTGGTTATAAACTAATTAGTTTTTTTTGTTTTTTTACTAAAAAGATAGCTGAATACATTTTGGCCAAGATTTATGAAGAAAGATTCTTTATTTGCAAAATTTTATAAGAAAAAACACGTTTTTTTTTCAACATTTTTGGACTGTTTCATATGTATAGGAAAAAAATAATAATCCCAGCGGTGAATAAATACCACCAAAATAAAGTTTTATCTGTCTCAAAAAAATGCTAAAAAATTCGTATGGGTACAGTGTTGTATGACCGTGCAATTGTCATTCAAAGTGTGATAGAGCTGAAAGCTGAAAATTGGCCTGGACAGGAAGGGGGTGAAAGTGTCCAGACTTGAAGTGGATAATTTTCAAACCTGGTGACTGGGACTAATTTCTGTCTCAGAACTAATCTATTCACTAAGCTTTCTGGCTACATAAATCTCTCTAATTCTTAAAGAGGGCTGTAGATGGACAAGCCAGGTGAGTTCTAATCCTATAAACATACTGATGTGTTCACTGGTTCCAACCACCACCATCTAATGGGTAACTGTCATTGGGATTCATCTAACAAAAGTAGAAGGTGGAAGGGGAATATTTGATTGGTCTCACAAATGATTGCCTAATCTTCTACCACATGTAGGAAAATGAAGGATGATAAGCAGCAACTACCACTGTCAGACAATGGTCCAAGCAATGTGCAAAATAACATAGTTTTTAGGGGATCAGCTAAAGTGCATCTTCATGCAATTTTTTTTTACATTTTTATTTTTTGATAGAGTGGGGAATAGTTGGTGCCTTTGCCAAGTATTTATTCAGGGCCATGGAGAAGGGGGTAAAAACTGACCTCCTGTACGGGGCCCAGGCAGCTGGGTGATCGGCACAACTGGGAATAGGCAATTACTGAAACCGATCCCCTGTATGGCTGTCTCTGCAGTAACTGAAAGCTGGCTTCTTCTCTCCCTTTCACTGGCTTTCAGCTGCTGCAGAGAGAGCCATATAGGGGATTGGTTCCAGTAATTGTCCCCCCCCACCGCCCCCACTCCCACAGTGCTGCTGGCTTCCCTCCTCTCCTTTGCATTGGCAGCTGCAAGCACACAATATGATCCTTCAGGATGGAGAGTAGGGGAAGGGTACGATATATATTTTCAATTTACCAGCCCCTTCCTTTCCTGAATGAACACAATGGTTGATGAGGTACTGAAGAGTTATCAGTACTGATCACTCACTGTGTTCATTCATAAATGAGACATAGTAAACTCTGGGGGGGGTTTGGGGGGGTGGGGGGCTGTATGGGGCCCAGTGGTTTCTAACAGCAGCCCTGTTTGTATTGCTGTCTATGTCCCCAGGGAGCTTCACTTCTCTAATTGTACTGATGACACAGCTGTTCCCAGAACAAGAAGTGATGCAAAATTATTTTTAAAGGGATTCCTGTTCTGAGGACAACAATTTAAGAGGAGATTTTCCCTCAATTTGGGAGATTTCCTCTACTCCGCATCTCTGGGACAGGAAGTGAAGGGAATTTCCCCAGTGGTACACAGACAGCAAAATATAACCCTGCACTACCCTATCAAAAAATAAAAATAAAAAAAATGTCTTGCCTTGAGATCTTGCACCCTAACTGGTCCCCAAGAGACTACTTGTCATGAAAAGGTGGAAACTCAAATGATTTTTAGAAATTGACTGTTTACATTATGCAGTCAATTTTTAAAGGTACATGTCATCCATCACTACTGTATAGACCAATCATTTAATTCTGACATAACTGTTTAATTTAACTGCTCCTCAACTGCCCTATAGCAGTTATACTGCTACAAGGAGGCCCAGTTGTGCAAAATCACGTACATATACGTGATTTTGATTTTTGTGATTTTGCATTTCCAGGTAGGGGGCGTGAGCAGCTGTCATTCACCGGGTCCCAGACGGTGATTACTCACCAGCGCCCGGTGATTTCCGAGCATCTCTGACAGGGAGGAGAACTGTTTGTAAGCAAAACAGTTCTCCTCCCTTTCAGCTGTTCACACTGCTTTGGATGGCTGTGCAGCACAGCCATGCAAAGCAGTGTGATTACAGTGAAGCACACAGACACAGCTTATGGTGAAACAGCACACAGCACACAGTTAACTCTTTGATCGCCCCTCATGTTAACTCCTTCCTGCCCAGTGCCATTAGTACAGTGTCAGTGCTTTTTTTTTAGCATCAGTCACTGTATTGGTGTCACTGGGGAGGTCAGTAACACCAAGTCAGTTCCCCCCAGTGTCAGGATGCCTGCCGCAGTTCCGCTATAAGTCGCTGATCACACCGCCATTACTAGTAAAAATGTAAAAAAAAAAAAAAAATCCCAGTATATATACCACCATTTGCAAACGCTATAACTTTCACGTAAACCAATTAATTTACAAGCATTGGGATTTTTTTTAGCAAAAACATGTAGCAGAATACATTTTGGCCTAAATTTATAACGAAATTTGATTTTTTTTTAATTTTTTACTAGACATGTTAAATAGCAAAAAATCATAAATGGTTTTTTATCAAAATTGTCAGCCTTTTGTTTTTATAGCGCAAACAGTAAAAAAAATGCACAGGCGATCAAATACCACCAAAAGAAAGCTCAATTTGTGGGAAAAAAAGAACGTAAATTTCATTTGGGTGCAGCGTTGCATGACCGAGCAATTATCAGTTAAAGTAATGCAGCGTAGTAACATATAAACGGCTTGGTCAGGAAGGGGGGTAAATCCTCCAGAGGGCAAGTGGTCAAACAGTTCCAACCTGTGCATTCTTTTGGGAAACAGTTACATCAGTGGATTTAGTTCAGCTGTATAGCTAACAAAAAGCGTTTTGCCTAGAATTTAAAAAAGCATGACAACATGGGAATGAGGTTGGTAAATGAGCCAACCTCGTAAGTGCGAGGAAATTTAACAGCTAAGATTTCCTTTACCTCTAACAAGGGAAAAGATGCCTGTACAATAAAGTCAGTCTAGAGAAAAAGTTCTGGCAGATTCTAATGTGTGGGGATTGTGATGATTATTATTATTATTATACAGGATTTATATAGCGCCAACAGTTTGCTCAGCACTTTACAATACAATGGGAGACAATACAGCAACAATACAGTTCAATACAAGAGGGTTAGGAGGGCCCTGATCCTTGGAGCTTACAATCTAAGAGATGAAGATTTCTCATTGATACTGATCTGTAGCTGTCTGTCATTTACTGCTACGTAATTCCTCCACCTCTTTTTTTAAGCCTGAAGTAAAGGCAAAACTTTTTTTGGATCGCGTAAGGGAGAGTTATAACCTCTGTCAGATTTTTTTTTTGCCATCTGTGTCCCATTGCGGAGATTTCTCTTCACTTCCAGTCCCAGAGCCAAACTGGAAGTGAGAGGAAATCCCTGCAAATTAAGGAATTTTCTTGGGGACCCCCCAGGTTACCAGAACTAGTGTCACCATTGCAAGATTTCCCCTCTATTACTGATCTGGGGACAACCCAAAATTTGGGATTTTTCTTATACTTTCACTTTTAATGATAAATGACAATTAGTAAACAGGACCCCTAACGGGGGCACAGACAGTAATAAAAACCTGACAGGTGCTCTAATCCCTCTTCTCTCTATTCAAAACTGAAAAAAAAGTTTTGCCTTTAGTTATACTTTAAGCTGCTCATACATACTTCAATTTCTCCCATTTAGTCCTGTGACCTGAATGACAGAAATCAACAGATTCTTCCATCCATGCTATTTTGCATTTCCAGGCAGGGGGCGCGAGCAGCTGTCATTCACTGGGTCCCAGACAGTGATTACTCGCCAGCCAGTGCCGGTGATTTCCGAGCATCTCTGATGGGGAGGAGAACTGTTTGTAAGCAAAGCAGTTCTCCTCCCTGTCAGCTGTTCACACTGCTTAGGATGGCTGTGCAGCACAGCCATGCAAAGCAGTGTGATTACAGTGAAGCACACAGGCACAACTTATGGTGAAACAGCACACAGTTAGCCCTTTGATCGCCCCTCATTTTAACCCCTTCCTGCCCAGTGCCATTAGTACAGTGTCAGTGCTTTTTTTTTTATAGCACTGATCACTGTATTAGTGTCACTGGGGAGGTCAGTGACGCGAAGTCAGTTCCCCCCAGTTTCAGAATGCCCGCTGCAGTCCCAAAGTCCCTCTATAAGTCGCTGATCGCAATTACTTGTAAAAATGAAGAAAAAAAAATTACAGTATCTATACTGCCATTTGTAAATGCTATATCTTTTATATAAACCAATTAATTTACACATATTGAGATTTCTTTTAGGAAAGACATGTAGCAGAATACATTTTTGGCCTAAATTTGTGATGAAATTGGATTTTTAAATTTTATTTTACTAGACATGTTTAATAGCAAAGAGTCAAACATATTGTTTTTTTCTCAAAATTGTCGGTCTTTTTTTTTTTTTATAGAGCAAATAATAAAAACCACACTGGCGATCAAATACCACCCAAAGAAAACTCAATTCGTGAGGAAAAAGATGTAAATTTAATTTGAATGCAGCGTTGCATGACTGCTCAATTGTCAAAGTAACACAGCGCCGTGATGCAAAAAATGGTCTAGTCAGGAAGGGGGGTAAATCTTCTGCAGGACAAGTGGTTAATGGTATATATTTTTTGTTTATTTTCTAGACTTCATTCACTAATACTGATTTCTAGTCTTTTTATGAATATTTCATCATTTTGCTGTGCATACTTTTTCAGGAAAGTACCCAACTAATCAACCTGAATCAAAATAAAACAAAACATTAAGAAGTCATTTTTAAGTCACATCAAAACACCCAAAACCCTTAATAAGCAAAATGTGAAAGAATATTTATACTAGCAACTCTACCTTTAATTAAACTACGATCAAACTAAAAATATCAGGTAGCATAAAACTGTTCCTTATGATACATGACAATTTGTGCTGAAACTTACTGAGAGTAAAAGTAGAGCAATACTGGCACCTACTGTTTATTTGATATAATTACAGTAGGTGAAATGGACAAGCTCAAGCATCTACCACACTGCATACTTTATGTACAAACATGTATATTACTAATGATAATTCACATATGTACGAATCTAATTATTTTTAACCTGATGCGGTCATAGATCTTAATTTAAAGCATGTTAAAAAATTATCATAAAACAGTATTTTTAATGTGTAGAGACATTTCTATAGAGATAACAATTCTTTTTGCCATCCAAACAATATGTTCATCCAAACTGTTGCTATTCTTAATACTAGTTCCATACTTACACATGCTTTATATATGATATGATGAAGGCAGTGGCACTTGCAGTTCCAATTTTTTTTTTTTTGTTATCTGCCAAACCATTTTTGCAGTGTTGTATACTGTATATGCACAAATGATACAGATACAGAAATTTCTTCAGAACAGAGAAATGTAAGACTCTAAAGAGTTTTTTTAAATCCTTGCAAAATATAGGGGTTTATTTACTAAAACTAGAGCGTACAAAATCTGGTGCAGCTCTGTAGATAAACCAATCAGCTTCCAGGTCTTTTTTTTTGTCAAATCTAAATTGAACAAGATAAAGTTGGAATCAGTTTGGCTACCATGCAGCGCTGCACCAGATTTTGCACTCTTAAACTTTAGTAAATCAACCCCATAGAGTTCACCTCCTTAAGGATTTTATTTTTCTCAACAAAACCAAAGTTACAGTTTAAAGAAGAATTACAGGAATGGTATGTTTTTACATAGTTACATTAGTCCAGCTTAGACTAGTGTAACTATGTATACACCATAACTGTCTGATGCCCCTGGAAGATGGAAATAACTAAAGTAGACACCGCTACTCCTGTGATTTCCTCTTGATTCTAGATCTCATGTTCAGACATCACTGTCCCACCTATCCACTTTATCCAGTCAGAAAATGCACAGCATTCTCTGAATGGTGCCACCCCATGTTGAGCAGCTGATCTCCAGTGTTCACAAGGCATCAGGCTGGCCACTTTGCATGGGCCCAGAAACAAGTGCTTGCTGGAGTAGCAGTGTCTAATTTAGTGATTTCCAACTTTCAAGGGCATCGGTCAGCTATATATATATATATACACAGTATATATATATATATATATATTACTGGCACCATGTGATATCAGGCATTCTACAGAAAGCCTAGGCAATGTATAATGTGGTGAATTTCACACATTGCCTGCAATATATATATATATATATATATATATATATATATATATATATATACACACACACACACATATAGCACTGTACAAAAGCCTTAGGCAGGTGAGAGAAAATTCTGTAAATTAAGAATGCATTCAGAAATAGAGTGTTGATCGTTTATATTTATCAGTTGACAAAATAGAAATTAATGAACAGAAGAGAAATCCAAATCAAATCAATATTTGGTGTGACCAACATTTACCTTCAAAATAGCATCAATTCTTCAAGGCAGACTTGCACACAGTATTTGAAGAAACTCGGCAGGTAGATTGTCCCAAACAATCACAGATCTTCTATGGATGTAGGCTGCCTCAGATCCTTCTGTCTGTTCATGTAATCCCAGATAGATTCAATGATGTTGAGATCAGGGCTCTGTGGGAGGCAAACCATTACTTCTAGGACTCCTTGTTTTTCCTCACACTGAAGATAATTCTTAATGACATTGGCTGTATGTTTGGGGTGTTTGTTCTGCTGCAGAATAAATTTTTGGCCAACCACATGCCTCCCTGATGGTATGGCATGATGGATAAGTATCTGCCTGTACCCCTCAGCATTGACTTTGCAGTTGTGGGTGGGGTGTATCTGAAGCAGACCCAGCAAGGTCTATTTACTAGCCAGGAGACTTAAGGTCTGTTTGCTGAATCTTTGTTTTGGACTGTGATCTTTACCCCTGCATGGGCAATCTGTTTTATGTTGGACTTTTGCTTTATTTTTGCCTTGGAATAAATGTGGGCAGGAAGACCTTAACCTTACATGTGGCTTGGTTGACTTCTCTGCAAGCTCCACTTGAAGCTGAACCCCACAATTGGTGTTTTGGATGTGGGCAATCCCTCTACTGATCCTCGCTGAAAGATAAGTTTGCTGGTTATGCTGTATATCTGATGTTAAAAGTTCATTGAAGGAAACTGTGTGAAAGTTTGTCAGTAGTGTTTAAAGGGACAGCAGACTGTGTCTATACCATTTAAAGGAGCAGGGCACTGCAGTGTAATTGTGAATTGGCAGCATGGAGACTTGATAAAGGCTTTGCTCCAAAGTAATGCTGCACAGTAACAGGTTTATAAACAAGCTGCAGCGCAACAGCAG